TTTTTCACCTACCCCTGCCCCCTACCCCCCCCCCATACACACACCCTCCCACAACCCCACCCCCCGCCCCCCAAAAAAAATTCTAAAAAATATTTTCAATTTCATAAATTATTTTCTATTCTAGTAAAAATAAAAGATGTTTCTCAGCAAACATTTTCATTCATAAATCAAACACTAAAAATTATTTTCGGAAAATACCATCAACCAAACATGAGAAAATAAGTTCAAAATCTACTTGTTTTCCAGGAAAACATTTTCTAGAGTACCAAACACACCTTAAGATACCAAACACACCTTAAGATAAAGATTATTTGTTTCACTAGAGTAGTTTCAATAAAAAAATTATTTTTCTTCATTTTATTTATTTGTAGGGTCTATTTTATATGAAACAAAAAAAATTAATGATAAATTTTATTTACTGATTTTGCTAACACAAATGTCTAAGTTGAGTGATTTCGTTGATATAAAAATCTAAATTGAGTGATTTTTTTAATACAAAACAAACTTTAACGACTTTGCTAGATCAATTCCTAAGTTGAGTGATTTTATTGATATAAAAATTTGAGTTGGTGATTTTTTTGATACAAAACAAACTTTAATGACTTTGCTAGATCAATTCCTAAAATTGAGTGATCTTTTAAGATATTAACTCAAATATCTACTTTAGATTTTTTTGAAAATTATTAAAAAATAATTTTTATAGTAATCGTGTGAAATGTGAAAATTTAACAAAAATATGTATAAAAAACGCACAAAACATGGTTAGTTTCCTACTTCGTTAGTAAACTGAAGTAACCATGGGAAATGGTAGATAGCAATTATAATCTTTTCCTCTCTCCGATACAAGAAAATCAGAGTTTCCTAATTCTTAGAAGTTCATATTTAGTGAATGGGGCAAAGTCGGATTTTTTATACACAAGCTAAGGGTCTTCTCAATTGTGACCCAACCTTCGTTTTTGCGAGTCTCTTAGTTTAACCATAGAACAGTGTTCCTTTAGTGACATATTTGTATTTCTAATATGAATATCCTTTTGCAAATATCAAGAGATTCACACGTTTAGTTTAAGGCCCTTAAATTAATTTTTTTTAGTTTAGTTGATTTTCTATATATGGACCTTAACTTTGTAATAGTTTCCTCTATCTAATTATAGTTTTGAAATATAAAATCGAGCCAAGTCCTTCATTATAATGATGTAATTTTAAAAATAAGTAAAACCATATAGCTACAAAATTAAGAATTACTCCAACATATCAGGTAAACAGCATGGACATTCCGCTCTCTAATCGAGATTAGAGATGCAATATAAAGGGCTTCCCTTCCCAAGCCTCGCAGTCTAAGAAATTTGAAGAGCTAAAGCGTGTTATCATCTATTATTTAGGTTAGTCAAAAATTACAGAAACAAAAATAAGATGAAATAGAAAGAAAATTTTTAATCGAATCCACAAAAATCACTGCGTTTTCTTAATAAATTTAATCCCCTCGT